AATCACCGTAAAGCCTCTCTTCCGGAGACTCTCGTAGACCAGGCAATGTTGCCTGAGTGTCCGGAACCTATTGTCCCCCAGGAGGTCCAATGCCTCCTTGCGGAAGTCCTCCCCCAGGATGTCCTGCATGTACGCGATGTGCTCCGCAAACGGGGCGAAGTGGGCGAGGAGCCGTTCCGCCCATTTCCCGCGCATATGGAGTTCCAGCGCTCGCTGGGTCGTGGGCTCCATTTCCCTTATTTTGCCCGGGCGCCAGTGCCTCCACTTCAGAAGCTCCGGTTGTTGGAGTGGGGGTGGGTCATCTCGTGAGAACCACCTCCATTGGTCCTGGCGGTCCCATTCATTCTCCAGCGGGGAAAAGTCTTCGCTCGGCTTGCCATCCGCCGTCGCCAGGAGGAGGAACCATAGGCTGTCCCACAGGTCGGCCAGGTCCGCCGCGGACAGAGGCTGGGGAAGCCTGCCTGCCGCCGATGCCACCAGGCCGTTGAAGTAGTCCGTCGGGACCACTTGGTCGGCTTGTCCTACCGGAATGCCCGAGAGTTCCAGGAGCTGAGCGAAGCGGATTGCCGGCTCACCGCCCAGCTTCCTCCCCTCCTCCTCCGTGCCTTGGCGCAGGCACATCAGGACCAACAGCTCCCCGTCCGTCTGTCTCGGGGAGAAGGACTCATCCGCCAATGTGTCCGGGACCCAACCGCGGCACAATGCATGCATGCTCCAAACTCGCAGACTGCAGAGTGCAGATGGAGCAGGCAGGCCACACGCATCCCGACAGGTCCCCCCCAAAGTCCCGAGAATTCAACCGGGAAGGGGGGGGAGAGCGACCCAAAAAACAACCCCCCAGAAACCGCCAAAAGCACGAGGGGGGAGACCGACCCGGCGGGGGACTCCCCAAAACCCCAAGGGGACCTCAAGGAAACCAAGAGTCAGCCGCAGCCACTTTTTCCGAACCGTGGCTGAGATGGCCCGTCCTTGGGGCAGCCAATGCATGTGGCCTAATGGTCGTGGAGATCAAGCTGCCGTGACGTGTCGAATAAGAGAGGAAAACAGTGGTGAAAAACGAACCCAATAAGGAAAACCCTATTCCCCTCCCCCTCCGGAGACGGGGCCAAAGGCACCCAAGTCCCGGCGGGAAGAAAGCACACGATTCCCACATCCGACAGGGTTGTGAGACAAAACCTAGCGGCTCCCTCCCTTCAGGATCGCCTCCTTCACCACCGAGTGGATTGCCGCCAGCCCCGACTTCTCCGGGTTGCTCAAGATGACCGACCACAAGGCAGTGGAGACATCCCCCAGGCCGTTCGAGGAGCTGAAGCGCATGCGGGGGGTGCTCGCGTCGCCCAGGACCAGCCGCTCATCCCTGGGACCCTCCGTCGGCTCCACCCTCTTGTAGAACTCCATCCGATCACGGATCCACTGATTGCCACCCCGTGATCTGGAGCAGTCTGGTCCCCTCGCGGCTCGCCTTCCAGAAGCCCTTGCAAAATCTGCACATATAGCCTTCCGTGGTCTTGAACTTTTCCTTGCTCACCACTTCCCAGGCACTGATGCTTGGCAAGACCAAGCCACACTCCACGGAGGCCCAAAACACATGCTTCGTCTCCTTGGGGAAGTGCTTGTTGATGTACTTTCGGCCCGCAACCGCCGTGACCGTGGCCGTGGTGATGGGCGGGTACCGCCTGGTGCCCTGGTCTGGTGTGCGGAGCGTGGTGTCTGCCTCCCATGACCTTGGCCTTGGGGTCCGCCTCCTTGGCCGCTCCCCCCCCGGGGCCAACAGCACCCAAGGGGGGGGAGCAACCCAGCTGCCGGATGAGGTCCTGGGAGTAGCCCAACCTGTCATACAAGGCCCCCGCCGCCTCCTGTGGGACCTGCTCGACGTCGTGGACCACGTTGCAGCGCCAGTTGACCTTCACCTCCACCATCGACGACTTGCTCAGCCACCAACTTGGTGTAGACCGAGTCGAAGGCCTTCAGCGCGGCCAACGGGAGGGTGATCCGTTCGTCGCAAACTGCCCTGAAACGCAGCGCCTCCTTACTGTCATGGATGGGGGCCACCGGCATTTCCATCACGGGCAACGGGCAGTTGACGATGAAATTCTTTGCCGCCAGAAATGTCCCCATCTGCTTGAAAATGTAGCTCCACTCCTCCTTGTTGCGCGGCTTGGGGATGCCCAGGCTCTCCAGGAAGGGCACCGCCTCCTTCCTCATCTGGAGGATGTTGCCCATCCACTTGTCCGAGGTCGAGCCCTCCGCATTGCGGCCCCGGCGTTGCGTCTTCACAATCAACGGGAAAGTGGTCCAGGCCGAGTAGATGTACTTGAATGTGAACCTGTGGGCGTACACTCCCGTCAGGCTCGGCAGGTCCCACGTTCTCGTCTGTCTGGTCCAGAACACCCCATCACCTTTCGCCCAGAAGATACCAACCACCTGCTCCGGCGCCGGGCGCTCACCCCGGTTCACCTGAGCTCGGATCTCCAAGACCGTGTAGATGACTGGGTCGATGTGGTCCTGCTCGCACGTGAGTGGGTGAGTCCTGCGCTCAAGGGCCAGGAGCTCCTCCGGCGCGAGCTTAAACTGCTGGTCAGCGCCCGGGGGATCTCACCGCTTGCGTGCTTCTTCCAAATCCCCCCAAACATCCGGAGCTCTCCCTGGCGCCGCTTCATTGCCCAGAGGATAAGGGACAGCTTGCCATCCTACATTGGCTGGTCCCCCCCGGGCCGGTGGCACCCTTGCAAAAGGGCCGAGATCGGGCATCTCCTCCAGCAGTGCCTCCTGGTGCCATGGGTTCTGCGACGCTCTGAGCGTCCTGATGTAGGGGACATACTTCTCCTTGATGTCCCCCACCTGGGGGATGTCCTCGGGGTCATCCAGCTCCAGGGACCAGAATAGGCCCCTCTCCAGGGCCTGCCTGAGATCATCCGGCCACGCCGACACTTCCAAAAGCTTGAGAGTGTGGTTGAGCATCCATGCCTGGTTGGTGTCCTGGGTTCGCTTGTTCGCCTGAGCCTCCTGAATGGAGCCCATCGCCTCAGCCAATGCCTGGCTGGCGTCAACGCCCTTCCCCTCCAAGTACTGGTCTCTCAGCTTGGCCTTGAAACGCTCCAGGTTGACCTTCCTGAGGGCACGGGCTCCCTCATTGGCCACCTCCTCTGACGGCAGGGCCTGCATGCCCTCCTGGAGAGGCGCCAGGATAGCCATCTCATTGTCCAGCATCTCCTCCGTGACCAACTCCTTGTGCCGCCGCCTGGCCGAGGCCTCCTCCGTTCCCGATGCTCCCGCAAGGCCTTATGCAGCTCCTCCTTCTTCCTGGGGGTGGTAGAGCTGGAAGCTCTGAGCCTCCGCCTCCTTCAGGGACCGCTGCACTTTGACCTTGATCTCCTGGCTTTCCCGGACCTTCAACGCCTCGTCGTCCGCCTCCATGGACAGGATCTCCTGCCGGATGTCCACCCGCCTGTTAAGCGGGACCGCATCTGCCATGGTGATCTCATCTGCCGTGTCCGTTTTTGGAGGGGCTCTCCCCAAGACCGTGCCGTCCACCAAGTTGCGGTCGGCCTGTGCCCGGGTACCACCGGGCCAACGGCACCCAGGCTTCCCCATTCCCGCTGCATCGAGCCTGTGCATGCGCTGGGTGCCGATACACGCCTTGTTCCTCTGGAGCTGCGAAGCCCAGACTTCCTCCTGGCGGAGCTGGATCTTCATCGGGACATACGCCTCCAGGATGCGAATCACCAGGTCCTCGGTGAGATTCTTCCCGACAAACTTGTGGAACAGGGAGACCGCCTCCTCCACCGTGATGTCTCTCAGCAAGGTGGCCGCCGACGCTGGAAGGACTGGAAACAGGTCTGGGAGGTCCACCAGCTTGAAGTACCCGGGTTTTCCGTCCACCGGCACTAAGGAGACAGGTTTGTTGGTCTGAGACGTAGCCTTCTGAGAAGCCGCCACGAAGCCCTTCAGTCTCTTCGTGGGTGGCGTCTGCGCCTCCTCCCGGTGGTGTGGCCCGCTCCGTGACGTCCGCATCCCCCATGTCCTTGTCGCCCTCCTCGGCGGGGCCAGGGGCACCCAAGCCGGAAGTCGGTGTGGCAAATGCCACTCGGAGACGCTCCAGTGCACTGGAGAGGTCCTTCATCACATCGGTCGCCGAAGATGACGGGGGGGCCTCGGGCTCGTCCAAAACCAAGCCGGCCGCCACTGCCGCCTCCCGTGTGCGAATGTCCTGGGCCTCCTGGCTGGCCATTTCAACCTCCTCCACGGTGAGTGTCTGGTCCTCAATCAACTCAAAGGAAGTTGCCGAGGTTGCCGAGGAAGCCATTGCTTGGTCGGGGTTAAGTTCGAAAATGCCAAAGATCAAAGTTTTTCAAACAGCTTGGGTTCCAGGAACCCAGAACAATGCTTGAGCCAAAATGGCACATGCCATTGTGGTCAAGCATTCCACACACAGTTCATGTTTCCACATGCGTTTCAACATTAACAAATTCTGAGTTCTAACGGGATTGCCTCAAAGTTCAGCTTCCCTTGAATTAGTGGTTGGAGGTTTGCGGGGGGTTTCGTATACCCTCTACAAGAACCAGGGATTCAAATCACCAACAAAACTAATCCAAACCACCTAAGCGAAACCAAAGACACTGCCGCGCGGAAATGGCCCATCAGTAGAGGGCAGTCATTGGCTTGGTTCCAATTTGCAACCAACTGGCTTGCAACAAAAAGCATGGCGCGAAAATGTCAGAAACAACAAACACAGAAGAAGAACAAATAGAAGAAGAAAAAAGACATGGGCCGCTTTGCAACATCATTCGCCATGAACCCCCCAGCATAGGGACCTTGCATCAGGGCCCATAAGGCTGGACGCGATTTCGAGGGTGCCCTAAAGTCTCCTTTAAAGGGAATCAAACAGAGGGGCCCAGAACATGTTTCCCTTTGGTTTAAAGAGGACACTAACATCTTTGGGGGCCCGCTGTTTGACACATAGAGACTCACCAAGAAAAGGCCTTTACTGAGCACCCGGCCGCGATAGAACTCGTCTGAGTCGCTGCCCGAATCGTTCTGGCCCAAACGCGTGTTGGCCGATTGAAAAATCCAACTTGACAAAAAGTGTGGCCACTGGCAAACACAAGCACCCGTTTGGTTTGTATTAGGGAAATCAAAAGGACACAGTTGCCATTGTAGGGGACCGATTCCTATTTTGAGAGGAAACCCCTTTTAGCATCCATTTGCTTTCGTCCTGTGGAAAACACACACACACACACATACATTGCCACTAGTGATAGATTCCCCTCAAAACCGGGTGAGAAACACTTCAAGGGTTGCAACCCGATCTGAACGGAGCCCAGTCCAATGGCCTGCATCTCTCGCACCCGGCCACGGAAAGGCGCCACGTCGTCGCTGGCCTGTGGTCCAGTGGTCTGGGTGCACCCCTTTTTGGGCTCGGGGAAACCAAAGTGGGACCGCCACTTTTGGGGCCAACTTTTTGAGACAAGTGCTAAGGCCTTGAGAAGGTCAGGGAGGGCTTGAGAAGATGATCACCAGATTTTCGGAAGTCCACCACTACTGCCTCGCTGGGGGAGAAAGTCCCTGCCCTGATATTTCCATTTTCTGAGCTCCCCCCCCCGCTTCATATTCCACTTTCGAGGGGGGGATGGAAGTCCAGAAAAGATCGAGATGTTCCATGATCTGTTCATCTGTTCATCACAGCGATTGTGTCCCGGACACAAAACGCTGAGTCTACTTACTCCCAGGGCTCTTGGTACTAGGAATTCCTTGCAGACTGAAAAAGATGAACGGCGCAACTCGACTCGCCAATAAAATCAAGGTCTGGAAAAAATGCGGTACTCACCTGGTGATTTGCTTTAGGATTAAAATAACGCCATCCAGCGCCAGTTGCTTCCCATAAGGTTTGACTGGAGCTTGTGCCAGGCGCGCCGCCTCGGATGGTGCGAGCCGGCCTCCATTTGCTGACTGTGTCCAGTAGTGAAATCGATTCCCTTTCAAACAGGAACTTAAAAAATCGCTGAAGAACATGCACGATCCTTGAGCCCAACTCATCGCCCATCTTGACGCAGGCGCCCAAGGCTTTGCCAGTCGCGGCTTCCCATGCCTTTCCGGCGACCAGTCTGAGCGACAGTCACCTCGATGCCGACAGACCTGTCTTCGTCGGGTCGCCCCCTTTGTCCTGTATCGCGAAGGTTCCAAGTTGGTTCGCTTGCGCTTTATGCGCGGAACGCCGCGCGGTGATCCAGCCCAAGCTCACTCCTTGAAAACCAAACTGAACCTTTTGAGGGAACCCTGGGAAGACAAGACGACTTTGACCGTGGGAGGAGACAGCGAATGCCTCATCCGTCCCATGCAGCAACATGGCCGGGCGTTCACAACCAAAATTGTCGCGTTGGCAACAACGCACTTGGCGATTTAGTGGTTTCTTTTGGAGCGACCTGTTCCAATGCGAAGTCCATGGAAGAAAAACCATGCGATTCAGTCGCGCCTGAAAGAACCACACAATTGGGTATATGTGTCAAAACCTGCAGTGACCCTAAAAAAGGACTTGCATGCCTGTCGTGTTACCTTTAAACCAACCTTAAAAAGGGGTACCAACTCCAAAAACACACCCGCCATTTGGCTTGATGGGCAAGCTGGTTCATATCGCGGAAACCCTCCCCAGCACTAGCCCCGTACCCTACAGTTGGTTGTTGGTAAAGCAAAGGTCGTTTCGCCGTTTGAGAGTTGGCCCGGGGTCTTAGGTTTGGGCAATGTCCCAGGCTTAACCATCGCAGTTCACTCTTGCCATGTCCGCGATCGGATGTTGCGGATTGCCTTTGAACAGACCAGCCCGCAGAGCTGTTGTGATTCCAACACCCATGGACTGCTGGTTCTACCAACGCAGCTACAAAGGTTGTTTGTACAGGGCATACTAAAATACTGTATGCAGTAAGCAAGCCAAGTAGATCCATCTACTCAAATGGCGACGGGGGGTGTTGGGGGGCAGCAAATTTGGGCTGATTAATGTTGCCGCTTGGCCGAGGCGTTCCATGCGTTGCGAATGCATCCAGCTTCCGATCTCGACACATAAGGCCAGATCTGCTTTGGTGGTGGACAACCATAGCAGGCAAGGTATGCAACAATTCCACCTTGATTCGAAAACCTGACTTCCCTTCTAGGACTGCGTGCGTAAGGGTTTCCTTTGGGTTTCCCAAATGAAACATCCGAGCCCTTGAGGGCTTCATGAACCGGATCTCCTGCCACATCCATTCCGATGTCCCGCTTTCCTTTCATTGTGAAGCTTCAGCCCCGCCTTTACCACCCCTTTTGGCGCAAGACTAGGTGGGAAGCTTGTAGCTTCTACCGGAAACTCCGTCTTGCTCATGTTCCTTTTTGCTGGTGATGGCATCTTAAACTTCCATTTGCTTAAGCCCCAGGAAAGAAATACAAACAACTATTTCCAGTAGTGATAGATTCCCTTTACAACCCAGAGGGCAAAATTAAAAATATGCGTAAGCAAATAGAAGTAAAGACGCGCAAAAGGCTGGGCTGCCCAGGCGAGGTGGCCCATGATAGCGCCGCCCAAACTGCACAGCCACAGCGCCGCCTCCGAGATGCGACGCGCTCATCGGGCAAACGTCGCTCGGACTCGCGAGCCACAGGGCTGTGGGTCAGAATCCAAATCGTACCCCGAGTGAACATCCTAATCACCACTAAAATTGGTTCTAAAATGGGTGGTGAATTCACCTACCCCAAAATGGGATCCCATTGGTTTTGACCCACAGCCACATGGCTGCGGCTCACAAATCCGAAAAATGGCACACACCCCACGCCCAACAGGGTTCCTCAAAGCATGCATCCATAATCCTGCTTTACAAGCGCCTCTAATTCAGCGGGTAAGAGTAGCTTTGTAACTGGCCCGTTTGCATCCTTTGAGGGACCCTGAGCCACGCCCACATGACAAATGGAGTGATTCCGCTGGTCGGGAATTTGGTGAGCCCCCCGTGTCCCTCCCAGATGCACCATAGACCACTGTATTTTTCTCACCAACCTCAGTGGAAAATGGAGAGGGCACATCAGGCTAACGAAAGAGACGGGGAGTCCCAGTCCCTTGGATTCGTAGAGACCCGCACGCCCAGACCGATTGGGGTGTCCTTCAAAAATCCGGGCACCGCTGGTAGGCCTCTTGGGACCAGATTGATTTGCAAGAGCCCATCCATTTCAAGGAACGTCTGACTCAAACCAAAGGCGCCTGACCACAGCTGAGAGCGGAGGCCACTTGAAGCCTCAGGCACAGCTGGCTCAAGCGCTCCCATTGACTCCGGTCGCTTTGCTTTTGCCTTCCAAAGAAGCCAGCCACAAGTTGGACTCCCCGTTAGACAAACAAGCACACCTCTGGATCGTCTTGTGCCTCGCAGGTCAAAATAAGGGGACCCGAAATGGTGTGTGGTTGGCTTCCTGTAAGCCAAACTATAAAGGGTACAGAGGCAACCATTACATACGCTTGCGTTTCCGCAGGTATGGGTATGCACGTATCCACAAGGGGTACTTTCAGGTACCGCAACCCCCAGATAGCCTGTGACTGGCTCTCTAACCAAAGTCAGGAAGCGTAAGGCTGGAAAATGAGAGCCGCACGAAAGGGGGGGGAGGGGGTATCAAAGTCAGCCACCTTTAACTTATGACTTGGGGACGTAGTCCCTTTCGAAGCCCTTAAAGGCGCTACCCTCAAAAACGGCCCAAGGGGCCTCTTGTTTTGGGCTCCACCCAAAGACATAGCCTCTCATCTGCAGCTCTTGCCCAAGATTATTGAACCCGACCTCCGCGCACGCCGCTGCTTTCCTTCTCTTCATTTGAAGCTTGGGCCGAACAAACCTGGCATGCAACGCAGCCGAAGCCTCTGACCACATGGCACATCTGCTGCTTCGGTGGGATGCGGGCGGTCAAACTGGGGCGGGTTTACCATCTGAACAAACCCCATTGAGGCTTATCATTGGATAAGACCAGGGATGGACCTCCCACTTCAACGTCCAGCCCCAAGCGACAAATCGGGCGATTCCAAAATGGGGCGGAAAAGGAGTCCAAACAAGTTCTGGGAACCCAATTTCAGCCTTGATAGAAGTAAACAGACCGAGAGAGAGGCTTCGGCTGCAAAAAAAAACTGTCGGGGCACGCGGTTGATGCAGGCACACGCACAAGGTCCGGTGTCAACGGAACTGCCTAAGGGCTCACCACACACGGCTTCCTCATCGCATTAAGACTCTAGGTGAATAATCAAATCAACTCACCAACCCTTGAATGAGGCGTCCCAATGAAAGGAACGTTTAGCATGAGGGAGGTCTCAACCCCCTTTGTGAAGTCGCATGTGAGGTTGCGAACAATTGCTCTCAGAATCAGACCACCAATAAACACCCAAATCACGTCAGCAGCTGTTCATATCCACCTTGATTGAACTCACCAGCGGGAATCGTATTCCAAGCTCAGGCCGGTATGCACTGTTTCCCCATTTAAGTAAAGCAGAGCTGTTTGCGAGGCTGTCCATGTCCGTCCCGTAATGTGAACTCAACCATCGTTAATTTGGAGAAACACCCAAATGAGGCCACACAGACGACAAACAGGTGCCGGGTGGGCATGTGAGCCTGCCTGGCCCCATCACCCGCTCTGTGAAACGGCACGCTCCATGCGCGAGAGGCCACAGGAAAATCAAGGGCTGATGTCGTGTATCCTCGTGTAACCCAATTCACTGAAAAACCGTACCAAATCCCTTCTCGGTTGCTTACCACCTATCTATGGTGTATACAGTCGAAGCTATTTAGGGGTACTCCCATTGACAAGGGTACGTGACAACAGCCCTTGAAAAAAAAAACTGGCCAAACCCTCCCGGTCTCATCTGCGCGGGGAGGGCAGGCTGTTTTGCCTGACCGGCAGGTGTCCAACACAATTTTCACCTGGGGCCCGGAACAACTAACTTGTGGTTTGCGGTTTCCCAAACAGGCTTGATACAACCTGTCTGATGCGAAGGACCTGCACTCGACCATTACCCCACCACAACTCACACGAAGTCTCACGCACACACAGAGCGACCACCCGACTGAATCGTTAAGTCCTCACGTGCCTAAAGGGACTGGAAGCAAAAGTTTCATCTTTGGGGACCTTGACAAAGGTGGGTTTGCCAAAGTACAAATCAGGGTGCCAAAAAGGCTTGGCCCCTGGTCTTTCTAGGCCAAACCGAAGGTCCCTTCAATGGTCGATTCGCTGTTGCCCAAAGAGCTTTCATAGAGCATCCCTGGACGAATGTCTTGATTAAAGTTGTTAAAGACGCCCATCTGCTCGCCCAAAATCTAACAGATGAAACAAAACAAATTACAAAAGCTCTTGCCGATACTTCTTCCAATACTACTTAGCTAGGCGGAACCCGCAAAGCTTTCAAGGGCGCGACTGATAGTGTAAAACCCCCACTGATTTTTTTTCCGGCACTCGACTCCGGCCCTGGAAATGACAACACGAGTTCCTTTACTTTTCTGTTGCTGTCCCAGACAGGGAGAGGCCCGGACAGGACTGGAAGGGATGAGGACCTGACCCTCTCTGTTTAAAGCCTGTCGGGGGGTCAAATGGGTGAACCTCCACACTTGGTTTGGGAAACTTTCCCTAAGGATCAAACAAGACACCTCCGAGATGTGACGCCGATCTCGGACTGCAGCAGGTGCTCCAAAGGGGCAACCCCCTCGACCCCAGCTGTGTCCATGCACAGGTCGAAGCTTGCTGCTCCGTTGCCCGTAAGGAAAAGGCCAGATCTGAGTCAGATGGTGTGCTTCTTTCTTTCCCAGACGATTCTTACCTTTTCAACTTGCAGGTTTTGCGGTATTCCTTTAAGTTTGGCCCTAACCTTGGGCAATTGGTCGGTCTTTGGGGACCCTCTGGGTGCCTGGTGAATGTCAACTTCAGATACTGTATATCCGAACCATACTCATGGTTGCCGCTTTCATGAGGCTTTCCTTTTAGAGCTATCCTATCCCTCTGATTCGTACGGTCATCCGGACTCCGAACATCAACGGGGGGAGGGTCAGAACATGCTCCACTCCATCCATGGGCATGGGAAAATGAGCGAGCCCACCAGACTGAGCATACAGGCATACTGGAAGTTTGCACCTTCACCTCAAACCCTGCAAGCCATAGTCAAACTTGAGGGGAACCCGAGAGGACCTGGGAAATTCAGTGAGTCCTCTGGCTTTTGTGAGGAAATCTGGATGTGGCTCAAAACTTAAGGGCTGTCCAGTGGTCCAGGGGACCACTAGGTTGAGTCTACTTTTTCATCAACCAGGGCTCCGTTGTGGGCCGAGCCACACCTCGGAGCTCGTCCCCCCCAAACCGATCCTGCGACTCCCGACCGGAAGCCCGCCTGGACGTCCGCGGAGTGCGTGGCCCGGGCATCAACGGGGGGAGGGCGTGCCTCAATCGCACCAACCCTAAAACGAACGGCGCTCCTTTTGCGACAAACCTAATTTAGGCAACAGCCTTAGAAGGAAAAAGGCCAACATGGATCCATCCGCACTTGGGCTGTTCTTGGCAGCAAACGGGGTTCGAATATAAAAATCACTAGTGAACTCCAGAACAACATGATAATGTGTGTAAGGTGATTCCCATATTCCTGGACAAACAGTTGCTGTTGGCTCAGTGCGAGTTGCGCGACGTCTGTGTGTGTGCGTGTGGGTGTTTTTGTTTTTGCTTTTTGCGTTTTGCTTTTTGGGGTATCCCTTTGGCATTTTGGCGGTTGGTTGAAAGGACCGTTTCTGTGCTCCCCTCGTTTGGCACCCATACTTGGTGTATGCCAATTTTCAAAGAAGAAGGATCCCTGAAAAGCATGGCTTTACAACCGTTTTATAGCTTGAATATAGCTCGCATATAGCCGGAAAGACGCTATGGTTTCCCAGTGGCTTGGGCTGCGCACGACATGTAGACCTTGAAACTTGGAGAAAATACCGGTGCGAAGAATACATGTATTCATGTTTATCTATGTGTGCGTATAGGTGTATATATATATATATATACATTTATGTATTTATATATATATATATGGTCACCCCCCCCCCATGAACTACCTCGGTCGCTCTGCCTCGAAAAAGTGCAACAAACACTGTCTTTATGTGTTTTTATCATAAGAACGACGTTTAGAGCTGAACGGATTCCGTTTGTGATTTGCATTACGCTAATTGTGGAAAAATGGAAACGACACAGCTTTCGCAATGTTCTGGTAATTGCATGCAAAAACACGAGACAGATCATCCATAAGGCCCAAAAAAAACAAAAAAAAACAAAAACGACAACTCTGAGAAAAGGTTGTGGTTTTGCACAGAGTTTTGTGTTTGTGGTTTTCTCGAGTTGTTTTTGGTTGGCACGCCACGAGGGCGTCGTGTCCCTGCCAGCAAATCCAGCATCGTTGCATGTTGACGAAATGCCAGGCATCATGCACGTTGTTTAGGGGGGAGGGGGTGGAGGGGGCGGGGGGAGGGGTAGGAACGATCGATGTTGACCAGATGCAAGGCATCACGTACGTTGTTTGGGGGGCAGGGGGGGAGGGGTAGTAACGTTCGATGTTGACGAGATGCCAAGCATCATGTATGTTGTTTGGGGCCGAGAACAAAACATGGAGGGGTAGTAACGTTCGATGTTGACGAGATGGTTGTTTGGGGGCAGGGGGGGGAGGGGAGGGGTAGTAACGTTCGTGATCCTAGTTGCTAGTGGAGGCAATCTCAGAAGAAAGACATGTTTCAGCCCTTGGCAAGGGTCATTCATGGCGCTGAAGTCGGGCCCGTGACACCGAAACGTGTGCGGTCCATGAGAAAGAGTGAGCGGCTAATCAATTCTTTGCAGCTTAACATGGGCGTGCGTTTGGCAAATGAGCTTTTTTCCTCTGATTTTGGCAATGTTACGTTCACAAACGCACGATGCCTGAGTGGCGTCCTTCCCTTGTTTTTGCTTGGTGTCCCCTGAGCTTGTATTTGGCTTTTTGAACAAAAAACCATGTTTTTTGTGTCATACTTGATGGAAAACAAAAAACCCTCGAGAAAACCAACAAAACAAAACACCAAAGCTCTGAGGAAAAGTTGGTTTGGCCGAAAATTGTTTTTGGGTTTTCTCGAGGGTGTGTTTTTGTTGGTTTCCCTGAGTTGTTTGGGTTGTTGTTGAGAAAAAACAAAACACCTCGATGTGTCTTGTTTTTTGTGCTTCGCTGTTGTTCATAGTGTTCCGTCAAAGACTAAAAGCCACGAAAAATATAGGCCTCGATAAA